CAGGTTTTGGATGAGAGTGATCTTTTTGTTGTCTGCTCTTTGTTCATGATGGTGATTGGTTCCCAGTTTGCTGTGCCATCCCCCTGTTGAAACAATGACCAATGGATGAGGGTGATGAAGTCTCTCCTGACAATGGATTCTTCCCACTAAGGTTCCCAATATATTCATTGATGCCATAAAGATGCATGGTCTTAAGGTTGTCATATCACAAAAATTGGCCACCATTTATTGTAGCTGTCAGAAGTTGCAGGTATTGGTTCCCCTAGCCTAAGCTCAGTTGAGATGGGTGGGGGGGAAAGGAGGTGGAGGAATCTAGAGGCCTTCGATGATTGCAAACCGCTGTTGCCACATCCGAAGTTGACTGCCTCCTCATCAGTTGCTAGAACACATTGTGCTACATCATTCTTCAACTATAATTATTTCAGTATATCTTGTGTTTGGTTAATTGGTGCATGCACTGTTGACATGGGGAATAATTGTGTCAGTGTTACTGTTCAAAGAAGTACATGCTGTCCAGTGCATTGATATGAGAACTGTATATTGGCAACAGTGCAGTTATGTGTCTAGTGGGAAGGCCTTGGAAAGCCTGGAACGTGACGGGCAGTAGGGCGGGCTGGGCTGGTTGTCTGGAGTATTCATGGGCGAGACAGTCATCCCAGTGGGGGACAACCAAGTGGGGTATCATGGCTGTTGCCGCAGGGGATTATGGGAAATAAAGCGTTGAACGCTAGGTCTCTTCTTGGCAACCCTTGCTTTAACAACCCCAGGCTAAACCATTGTCTCATCTCTGGTGTTTGCTGTGGCAACGTGGCAGCCATATTGCCTGCTGCTGGCGCTGCCTCCTCGGTTCAAGGATTGTGATTGGTTTTTGCTGTGGAAATGTTGGTACCAAGCAGTGTTAGACTGCAGAGCTGTAAGCCGCTTGATTCAGCTCGAAAGACTGCTGTAATGTAGTTGTTGACTGGATGGAGGACGCAACCCAGAAACAGTTTGCGTGGAGGCCAGCCATGTACACTAGCACTCCTGGGCTTCCTTTCTTGTGGTGATAGAATAGTAGCATTGACTGTCAAAAGAAATAGTTGTAGGTAAATTTTGTGAACAGAGGTGATTGTTGTGTATTATGTGCTTCTCATAATAGAATGGGGTTACTGGAATACCTGTAAGATGTGCCTAAATTGACAATACACATAAACTTGTGAACACTGTGGAGTGAATGCTATGAACTGTGCAAAGAATAACTTTAACCAGAGGATTTAAAGTTGAGGTATGTATAACACTCTGTTAGGAGATTCCAGATAAATGCATCAGTAGTCAGGAATGAAACAAAGTACATAAATGTGTGATATATTGTTTACGTACCTTAGCTTGGTACAGGACAGGTGTGAAGAAAACCATTAAGCTTGGAATTATTAATCACCAGTCATTTGGGACGTTTTCATGTTGAAAAGTATAGAACTGTCAAAAGTCACATGCTGTATATGATTAATAGTTTCTCCTTCTGTGAATAAGAAAAGCTGAACTTTGTGAAATATTTTGAATAGAATTAGGTGCTTCCATTACACCCCATTAACAAAAGAAGTAGAAGTTTTGTAGCATTCTTGATCTTGTTTGTTGTACTCCTGTATTATTCTTACTGCCAGTCATATGGTTCTGAACCGTAGTGTATTTGCGTTCTGTGTTAAATATATATTTGCTTATATTACATTGCCATGTTGCCGATCACCATCCTCAATACAGTTATGTTTGAATTGTGTTATTCACTAATTATTATTAGCTTGATCAAATCATGGAGGATGTGATTGACAGGTCATGTAATACACATGGGAAAGTCGAAATGCACATATTAAAATTTTTTAGTTGGGAAATCTTGAGGGATGAGGCTGGTTATAGATAGGGACTGGTGGACTCTTATGAACTTTCAGGTTCCATAAAAGGCAGGTAATTTCTTGAAATGCAGGCTGACTATTAGCTTATCGAGGACCCTGAGCTATGATGTTAGTTGATTTTTTGGTTGTATAATGTCACTATAGCAACTGCTTAAGTTATGTTACAAAATGAAATATGGTAGAATAATTATGAATTATGGCCATGGCTTATTTTACCTTACCATGCCATAATTTCCATACAGAATCTAACAAAATATCTAAAAGCTATCACCCACTCTGGTCATTTGCCTCTTCCTTTCTGTACTATTCAATCCAATATTTGTTACCAGCCTCTCCCATAAAAAAATCTCCTTGGCCTGTAGTCCACAAGCAAACTACCGTCCTCTCCCATGCATGAGTAAATTAAAAACCTCAAGACAGGTGATCCTGGCAAGAATTTGAACCATACACCTCCTGAATTGTAGTCATATGAGGTATAATAATGCCAGTATGCTTAGTAGGATAATTTTGAGCAGCGATTACGATAAGGGTAGCTTAGCATAAAAAGGAAATATTTGAAAAGCTTTCATTAGGATGGTAGGTTCCAGGTATCAGTCCACAGACTATGTGAATGTGTCACATAATTATGTGACACATTCACATAGTCTGTGGACTGATCATACGGCACAGTGCTGTATGATTATAATCATACAGCACTATGATGCTAATTAAGGAGCTGCAAGATCAGATTGATTTGTTTAGAATGTGCCATTCATACAGCGGTTTGAAAGTAGAAGACAATTTGAGGCATGCAGACCATAATGCGAGCACTCAGTATGTCATGTGCATTGATACACACACATATGCCTTGTTAAATGCACGTTTTTATGTGATATCCTTCTATACTTAACGAATACTGCTACCAGTGTTTTTTTATCTTCTCAGTGCTCTGTCAAGAGTTGGGATTAAATTAACAAAAGTTTTCATCCCTTCGTTGATACTTCAAGACAGACTGTGAAGTGAGACCCTTTTGTTAAAATTTCAGTGGCAAATGTCTCACACAATAGTAGTAGGAGGGAGCAAGATTGGTCCTGAATAAATTTCCTCCTAATGGTAGTTCAAAACAAGATGGAGGTTCAGAGGGAACAAAGGTAGACCGACATGCCGACTCAGGTTAGCTTGGCAGGTGTGGTCAAGGGGATGGGGGATACTAACCCAGGAAGCAATTAATTCTGGGGGAAAAAGGGAGAAGGGAGAGAATGTTTAGAAAGTGTGCTGATAGCTAGGACTGTTGCTGCAGTTTTAGATCCTGTGGATAATGTCTGCTAGACTTTATTCATTTGTGCCGCATATGCTTGCAGCCAACTTCCCCCCAGTTGTTAATTCAGTGGGGAATGGAAAACATTTCTGCTAGTATTGGAAACATGACACAGCAAAAAGAAATGCACCTACACCTCCAATGCTGTAATTCCTCCCTGCCATTTCACATCCGTATCCACTTTATATTTGGGTAATGTTTCTAGGTTTTATCTTGAACATTAAACAGGATGTCTGTGAAACAGATGATCAGTTGTATTGAACATTCCATTTTAATCACTGTTTTTAGACATGTTGCTTTAATGAGTTTTTGGGAAAATAATGTTTTACATTTTAAAAACTCAAGTTGTCTTATAAATGTAACAGAAATTTCATATCAATTTTAAATGCACATGTTGGTCATGAAATAGTTGCTTCAACCCTCAGTAGTTGGTTGGATTGAATCCAGAGGTGTGGTATGCATATTTTTAATCACTTTTGTGTTTCATCATCGCCCACCTATTTTAATAAAAAATTCACCCAAACTTTCGAGACAGGATAGCTCAGTTGGTATAGCATCAGGGTATGGCCTAGAAGGCCAAGGTTTGATTCTAGGCAAGGGCAAGAGATTTTTCTCTTCACAGTGTCCAGATCAGCTCTCTGGCCCATCCAGTCTTGTATCCAGAGGGCACTAGACACTTTCCCTGTAGATAAAGCAGCAGGGATGTGAAGTTGACCTTTCACCTCCATCTAATTTTGAGGGCAAGACTGGTGGAGCTATACCTCCACTCCCCCATAGATCTTAATGGCATGGTGCTTTATTAATTAATCAAAGGAACCAACTTTACCTTCCCATATCACAGATGACTGGGGCACACAGTAGCATGGTTGGTTGAAGCAACATGCTACAAGCAGGAAGGTCGCAGGTTCAATTACCGATAAAGTCATTGGATTTTTTTAAATTTTACCTAATTCTTCCAGCCGCACTGTGACCCTGGGTCGACTCAGCCTCCAACAGAAGTGAGTACCAGGAATTGTCCGGGGGGGGGGGGTTAGAGGGCAGCTGGCGCACAAGGCTAACAACCTTTCTGCCATTTGTCTAGAAAATGTGGTAGTCTCGACATCTCACAACCATATGGGCCTTAATAGCCTGTTACAGGGATAGCTTTACCCTTTTCACCTTTTACCATACTACAAATGACTAAGGGTCAAAGATTACCTTGTTATGTGATGTGATGCCATGCAGACTGTTTTGGAGAAGGGTTACATATCTAAAAGTCATTCAAAGTAAACCCATTCATATGTAGTGAAGAATTTCTTCAGTTGAGCAGCAGGACATATTTTTATAGCTATACAAGGTTGTAGAAACAGAATAGAATTGGGTCCCCCCCCTCCCCTGTAGTGAATAAAATTGATCAGATTCCTTTTTCTTTGTGGTTACTTATTGCAATTACAGCCGTGTTCTTGAATGTTTTACTTGATGAATTCAGCACAGAAATCCTTGCAATTCATGTCTTACATTTAATCACAAATTGTAATGTAAAAGAAGAATAAAGAAATTAGGAATGATGAGATGCTCATTGCGTTGAAAAACAATGGTTCATCTTTGGCAGATTTTTGAAATTATGTCTAATGCGTATAATTCATAAGATTTACGAACAGTCAGTCATGGCTTCAAGGCATGTATCTTCATCTTGCAGTGTCAGAGGACTGTAACGCAATTTGTAAAAGGACAGGAGAGAGATGAGATTAAAAATCATGAAGGTATTTGTAATTTTCTATCAGGAATGTTAGAAGTTTTTATTGCCACATTGCTTACTTCTTCCTTGTCCATACTAGGTGAATATGTCGTCAAGGCTGGTGGTATTGTTGATGAGCTGAATGGCAGTGGCAGTGCTCTAGCTGAAGAAGAGCCATCATCTCTCATTGACTTACCAGAATTTTCTTTGGAAGAAGCACTGCAGCTTGTTGGCTTGGATGAAGATTCGACAGAGGTAAGCAGCATTTAGCGTGTGAAACTTTTTGATCACGCATATAAAGTTTCATACATTTTTTTCCTTTTTACTTTGTTATGTTAGCATATAAGAGGGATGAGAAATGGATACAAAATATTGGTTGGAAAACCTGAAGGGAAGAGACCACTTGAAAGACCTAGACATAGACAAGAGAATGACAGGATCTATCCTGAAGAAATTGTGCTAAAAAATATGGATTGAATTAATCTGTCTCAAGATAAGAACCAGCAGTGGACTTTTGTTAAGCAAGGGAAGGAACTGTTGAGTTGCATGAAAAGCAGAGAATACCTTGATCAGCTGTGGGGCTTTTAGATTTAGATTGTGGTCTTCTGAATTATGACACTGTTTGGTCTGGTAGGTGGTTGCCAGCATTTTGGTGGAAACTACTGCCTGCAGCCTTTGCTCTGAAGATGGAGGTAGCAGGTTTCTCTGGGGGGAAGGGGGAGCTTGTAACCCACATGACATGATAGTATAAACCCACAGGACCACAATCCAAATCTTCATTACCACCATGAAAACCTCAAATCTTATACAGATTATTAGGCCCTCAAGAAGTAGTGTCATATACTGGCCTTGGTTAAGGCTTTAGTGAATATAGCCATCTGCCCAGGATGATCATGTTTTAAGCAGATTGGCAAATGTATTTAATATAAAGGTTGCCATCTGTCTATAAGTTGACCACCTGTTAGACTTAATTCTTGTTGGTTATGAGGTTCTCACAGCACTGACTATGAAAAGTTCTATGTTCTGTGATATAATGACTGGTCACCCATGAGGACTTAACTACATGACATATATTGTTTTGTAAATCATTAAAGTTTTCTACCTTTTAGGGACTATTTGATGCATCAAGATTTTGAAAGTTGACATTAACTGACATAATCCTTGAATGAAGATGTATGTGCACCCTGTCTTTGATGAAGTGCCTTTAGGGTTTGTGGTGGAAGTACTTAGGAATAAACTTTCTTTGGTACCCATGTTTCCTCATTTACAGTTTAAATAATGTCTCTTATGAACATATTCTTGAGAGGCATCCTTTGAATAATGGCTTGTGCTGTTTTATAACACATGGATAAACATAGAGATGTTTGTTTTCTTCCTTTTACATATCTTCAGTTTAGTGAACATAGATTTGAGGTACCCCTTGACAGTTACAGATTCAATATTTTGCTTCTTCTTTGTGTAAGTATGAGCATAGCCCTTCTTGAAGAACTATTAGCCACTCTGAAATCTAGTACTTCCCCAACATTTATGTAATCTGAAAGTTTGTTGCCGTCTTCACAATAGCCCACCACTGGTCTTCTCCTGAATCAAATGACACACTGTCATACCCTGTTTCCCCAAGTTCCATTTTAATATCTGTTGTACCTAGGCCTCCAAAGCAGTTTCTTTCTTTCAAGTTGCCCAGTTGAAATTTTATATGCATTTCTGTCTTGTCTCATGTGCATTTTATATCAGTCTGTCTCATCATCCTTAATCTGATCACCCTGATAATTTTGTTGATGAGTATAGAAGCCCTGACTGTGCAGTTATTTCCATCCTTTTGTTATTTCCTCCCTCTTAGGTCCACTGTTCTCATCAGCCTGTTTTGAGTAACCCAGAATCTAGGCTATTCCAGCAAGGTACAAGACCAAGTTTTCACATCCACACAAAGGACAAGTAAAATTGTAGCATATATGGTTACGATTTTGGAGTGACTGTAAACAGGGTTTGGATTGGTGAATGGATTTATTGACCACTTACACCCATGACTCGGAACTACAAGCAATTACAGTACTATCGCTGATCTACACACTTCACAAATCACTACAGCACACGCTAAGCCTCAATCTTTTGTAGTCTACCCTAGATGTTGCTTGGTAGCAGCTCTTGGCACTGGAAATTCTTCAGCTTCTGTTCTCACGCCATTGCCTGCTGGCTAATTCTACTCACAACTAAACTCATTGGTCCAGCTGTCCCAGTTATAACATCTCAGCATGAACCACATAGCAAACATCATTCTTCCATTGTTGTGTTCATGTTTGTTGTGGCAGGAATGTGTTTACCAAGCCATTGCCTAGAAACATTCATGGTGCATACCACAAAAAACACCGTTCTTCTGTTGCATGCCTGTATGTTGTGGGTGTTACCTAGTAACAGCCCCCGAATACAGAGTCACTGCTTAGCAATGGGTCTATATGCCACAGTATTTTGATTTTAATGTTTTTTTTTTTTTTTTTTTTTTTTTTTTTTTTTTTTTTTTTTTTTTTNTGCAGGAAGCTGGAAAGATTTGTTTGAACTAATTCGTTTTAATTGAATACCAGCAAGAAATCCCCAAATTTCATCCTGAATTTAATTTTGATTTATTTATGTTGCTCCAAAATGTTAGAATTTTGTTATATTTTTTTGGATTTTTGATTTTTTCCTCATTTTAGTTATGAGTAAGAACAAACACACTTTCTCTCCCCTCCCTCCTTTTTGTACCTCCCCAAAAGTCTGAAGGTTGCAAATGAACTTCTTCCTTGGTTAATAGGATTTGTAGTAATTTTTCAAGCTCTGTGTGTGTGTGTGTGTGTGTGTGAGTGAGAAAATGGGCCAAAAGGCATTTTAGACATTACTGAAGCTTTTGAGGTCAGCGTTACATTAAATACTATTGTGGACCACAAAATCTTTAAAAATGTAATAATACCTTTGACAACAATATTGATTTAAGACTGATTGTTTAAGTAAATAAAACTTCTCACTCTGCTTTATTTTACGAGCCTCTGTGTTATTTTATGAAATATAGATGACTACCCCAGTCACAATAAAGAGAGACCATAAACAACTGAGAATGTGAAATGTTTTAAATGTTTGGATAGCTTGTTAACGGATGATGGAAGATGTACGTGTGAAATTAAATCTAGGATTGCCATGGCAAAAGCTGCATTTAGCAAGGAGAAGAATCTTTTTACCAGCAAATTGAACTTAAATTTGAGGAAGAAACTAGTGAAATGCTACATTTGGAGCATAGCTCTGTATGGGGCTGAAACATGGACACTTAGGGCAGTAGATCAGAAACACCTGGAAAGCTTTGAAATGTGGTGTTGGAGAAAAATGGAGAAGATCAGTTGGACCAATTATGTGAGAAATGAAGAAGTGTTATTTAGAGTCAGTGAGCAGAAGAATTTCCTACACAAAATAAGAAAACAGAAGGCTAATTGGATTGGTCATTTCTTACACAGTAACTGCCTTCTAAAAGAAGTTATTGAAGGAAAGATAGAGGGGTGGATAGAAGTGACCAGAAGATGAGGAAGAAGACATAAGAAGGAGCTGGATATTCTCATTTGAAGGAGAAAGCTCTAGATCTAGCAGTAGATAGAGATCACATATTTTTTAAAATTCTGAATTGAAATTTGATGACTCAAGAGAGCTAAGTCAAAGTACAAACTCTAATGATGTCTCTCTGTGAGACACTGTGCACTTCTGTAACTTACATTATTTATAGTTGACTGTATTAAATATTCAGTTTCATTATTTGTAGAAGACTTCTTTCTGGTCTCCTGTGTACAAGTTCCTCTTTCATATAGCTGAAGCTGACTGGAATTGAGGATGAACTCTGGAAGTGTTCAGATAAATGTAATAACCCTAATAAGACTTGAAGCTTTCACAGAAACTAAATGTGACAGAATCTTCTCAGGCTTCCAGCCATGCAGCCATGTTAATTTGCAACAGATCTCCAACATTTAAGAGACTTGCTTTAACAGTTGGTCATATACTTACAGCATTCCCCCCCCCCTCAGACATGGGAAAGCGTTCGGTTTCTGTCATGGTTTGGCATGGCTGGTAGCCGGAGCAGTAATAAACCTTATTTAGGTAATTATCAATGGACAAGAATTCATAATGGCAGCAAATGGTGTGTTTCCAATATTACAAAAGTGAGTTCTCTCTTCTTCATTCTAAGACTTAATGCATTGTTCTCAAAATGTTGACTGCAAAATTGTGTATTTGCGTGCCTTTCTTATCCTGTTGTTACAAGGGTGAGTCAAATAAAAACCATATTTTATTTTATTTAATTTATTGAATGAAAACAGTACACAACTATATAATTTTTCTATGTTGTCTCCATTTTGTTCAATACATGCCCTCCACCCTTTACAAAGTGTATGGATTCCTCTAGAAAAAAATTCTTGTGGTTATCTGCACAGCCACTCATGCACCGCCTGCTGTACCTCTTCATCAGAACAGAACTTCTTTCCTCCCATTGCCTCTTTGGGTGGCCCAAACATGTGGTAATCACTTGGGGCAAGGTTTGTTGAGTATGGCGGATGTGGAAGACACTCAAAGTGCAAGTTTTGGATTGTTGCAACTGTTGCACGGACAGTATGGGGCCGAGCATTGTCATGTTGCAAAAGGACACCTGTAGTCAAAAGTCCATGTCCCTTTGATCCGAATGAATGTATGAGGGGTAGGCCTTCTCGGCCCTTGCACCGCGACCTACAGTGGTCTGTTGTGCTTCCCCTTTTGATTATCCCATCAGCAATCCCGTGCTTCGAATGAAGCGCAGGATTTTGTACGTGGGGGTGTTGAAATAGTTGGTTCCATAAAGTATTGATCCAAGTGACATAGTCTTAAATAAGCTAAGGCCTCACATTCACACAGGGTATGTGTGGCTGTTTCGTTTTCTTCTTGACACCTCTCACAAGTGGGACTATCACTTAGTCCCAGTTTGAACAGGTGTCCTTTGAGGTGACAGTGTCCTGTAAGTAGTCCTACCACCCATCGTAGCTGGTTCCTGTTTAACTCCAACAGTTCCTTCGCTCTTTCAGTAGAAGGTCCTCGTATGAGTCCCTTTGCTTGCCTGAGTCCAGTTAAGGATCCCGAGTATTTCTTGTGTTTCATGTTTGTCCAGTCCCTGATTGCCTGTCTGGCAACTCCTATAGAGATGCCACAGGCTGGTAGCTACCCCCATAGGAGTGCTCTCCCGCATTCGTCCTGGGTACACCGTAGTGACACCTAAGAGTCATTATGCAGCCACGTGAGAGGCTCTGGTCATATAGCCATCGCCCTTTATGGAAACTCAGCCGCCAGCCCCGGAAGGTCATACTGATCCAGACCCCCAGGACTGTCGTTGCCCGGCGGGACCATGAGGAGGTGTTCCAAAGCTGTGTCCCAACGCATCCCTGGTCCACAATACGTCCGCACCAAAGACACAGCCGTGGCTTGGCCACCTTCACCAAGGATGGCGTCATTACAACCCCGCCTCCCTTTGATCTGACTGCAGGCCGAAAATGATTCTTCAAGAGATCTGAATATGAGGCACTGGTGGTAGTGTTCCCTCAAGGCATGTAGTGCTCCGAGAGTATGCCTTGTTCATCCCAAAAGAGAGTCAGCATAATCTTCCCTGGAGATGGCTGCATCCGGAACTTCCTGGGTTTTGGTGATGAGGAATGACACCATTCCTTGCTCATTCTCTTTGTTTCTGGTTGGTGGTAGTGCACCCAAGTTTCATTGCCAGTAACGATTCTTGAAAGGAAACCATCACCTTCTGCTTCAAGGCGCCGCAGAAGTTCTTCACAGGCGTCCACACATTGTCGTTTCAATTCTGGAGTCAGCTACTGTGGTATCCACCTTGCATACACTGTGAAACTGGAACACATCATGAATGACATGGTGTGCTTATCCTTGACTCATGTTATGAATTTCGGCTATTTCATCCACTGACACTCGGCGATTCTCCCTCACTAGGACCTCAACTGCTGCAATAGACTCAGGGGTCACACAACTCTGTGCGCCTGACCTGGGTGAGGAGTGTCTGCCACAGACTTCACACCATTTCTGAATTTCCTACTCCACTCATACACGTGCTGCTGTGACAAGCATGCATCACCATACTGAACCTTCATCCGTCGATGAACTTCAGTCGGTTTCACTCCTTCACTGATCAAAAAATGGATTACAGAACGTTCTTCTTTCATGCATGTATGTAGTGGAGCAGCCATCTTCAAACTGGCACTGCGATGGCGTTCTGTTTGTCTGCATTATACTGCCACCTATAGGATACCCTTTATAGCATTGATAACATGTATGCCAACTTATAGGACAATGGCACGATATTTCAAATTTTTATCTCAGTTTTACGGTTTTCATTTGACTCACCTACATACTTTGTTTTGTTCTTTGTTGTGATATCATGAATAGACTTGATCTTCAGTGTCAAAGTTCAAGGATGAGTTAGTTTTGGAACTCCAGTTTTTAAAAAATGTTTAATTAATTCATTTAAAGAAATGTAGAATTCATGTTTAGTTTTGGCCAAAAGGGGTTTTCTGAACTTTATTGTTTTACTAAATCTTATATGAGCAAACTTGCCTCAGCATGTTGGTTTTTGAAGGCACATCTGTCATCTTATAAAGGTTGAGATTTATGCATTTGTTTGTATCAGGTGAAACCCATCAAACAAGACACTGTAGCTGGGTCCCAATCTGCACCAGGAGATTCTTCTGCTCCAAAGGATACCGGCATCGAAGATTTGAAACCGGAGCCAGACGAACTGTTGGATAATTCAGATGAGGAGCTGGGAATTCTGAGCGACATGATTCAAACAGCGCAGTTTCATCATCCCCATCCCAGATCCTTCCAGGTAAGATGAGAATTCATTCCAATACCACATTCATGGTGAAGGCTGTGGGAACTGGAACCATGTTTTGTTAGTACCTTAGGTTATGAGATGTTCACTTTTATAATGTACAGTGCGGTCGCATTTTATACAAGGGATGCATTCCAGAAAATCTCGCATTATTCAAGACAAGTTTTGAAACATATTAGTGGTCTTGCTGAATTTTTTGGGATTCACATTATTTAAACTTTGCTCACAAAGTGAGATTTTGCTAGTATTTTTTATATCACAGTATTTTTAAATTGATATGATTCAAATTTGCATATACATCTGCACTATACATGGAACAACTCAGCTGGTTTGTTGAAACATGCTGTGTACGTTTCAGTGTTTCTGTAGTTTCGGCTGAAAAGCATGTTGCTATGCCTTCCACCTCTCAGACCAACAACTTCAGAATACTGCTGAACTAAATGAAGAGAGTTGTCAATATTGAAACTGTTAAAATTTATGAGGTTTTATTTTCTCACAGTGGCAACTATGGAGAGTACTTGTGTTGTGAGATGTTATGCCATGTTTGATAGGCTGGTAAACAGCTGCCAGACTGCATGTTTTCACATCCCAATAGATGGTAGTTATTAGTGTTTCATTTATTTAAGTAAAGTAAAAAGCAAAGCTGTCCCTGTACCAGGCCATGAAGGCCCATAGGGTTGTAAGATGTTGAGGGTCCCACGTTGTCTAGACAATCGGCTCGAAGATGGCGGTAAGGTTGTGAGCCCTGCGCACCGGCCGCACTTTACTCCCCAGGAAAATTATTTAATTAATTCCTGGTACTCATTTCTGTTAGAGGCTGAGTAAACCCCAGGGCCTAGTGCAGCTGGAAGGATTAGGTCAACTGAAAAAAATCTAATGACCTCATCGGGACTTGAACTCGCGACCTTCCGGCTTGTAGCATAGCTCCTCAACCACTACGCTACCGCGTATTATTTAAAGTTATGACGGAGTTCTGTGTTTCCTTCTTCAGAATTGTATTAGCAGTGTCTGTGTGTTATCCAACCATTTGTCTTTTTTTCATCTTTCAAGTCCAGATTTGATATATAAACACAAAAGTGTAAAATTATTCTGAACACTGATCAGTACTTTCAGTTCCTGTCATTGATATTTTTATGTGTATCAGTGACTGAGACCCAGGTTTGGATTGGTGCATCAGTTTATTGGATCTTCACTAGTCATAACTACAATTAGTTCTTACACTGTCTAGACTACTGTAACTTTAGCACATAATGTCTTCAATGTCTGTTAACACTTCATAGTTGAAACCTCAGGACTCCTTTCCATGACAGCATCATGTCCCTGACTCATGGCTTCTCAGTTATGACTGACTAAAAACGACCTTCACTCTCCCCTATAAACCTTCAGCATGGACCCCATAGAAAACATCTGTTATTGTAGACATGTTTACAGTTCTGTTGCTTAGCACAGGGCATGGCACAGACCACATTCAAAACACTTCTTCTGTTGTCAGAATTCTTGTGTAATCTAGGAACAGACTGTTTACCAAGAATCTGTCTTCACGAGAACTTGTTTACCAACCCGTTGCCTAGCAGTGGGTGTACATGTAACAGTATTACAGCTCATATGGTATGCCATGTAGAATGTGAAAGTTTATCAACATTTCAGTAAATAAATGCAGTTGACATCTTCAGAGTTAATGGCTTGGGGGGGGGGGGGCCTGGAATTGACCCTGATGATGGCAGATGCAGTGTTTGCCAAAATGGTGTAGAACCTTCAACATTCTACACATTGTGTGGCCAGAGCTACACGTTAAGCACTGGTGATCAAAATCTAGGAACTAGCATTACTGGCAGATCGTGGAGTTCTGAGCTAGGAACAGTACTTGCACTGTTCAGAATAGGTCTCAGTTTGTATTATATAACTTTGGGTGTGTTGAAGAATACTTGGACTTGGGTTTGTGGCCCCACTGTTGAGAGAAGTATGACAGTTTCTGAAGTTCCTAGCACAGCATAAACTCTCTGTGAGAGTTGAGACAGACATTAAAAACATTAAAAAGCTCCACACGCCTGAGGCCTAGTTCTGTGAATTGGGCCCAGCTGAATAGGTCCTACCTGAAGATGGATACAGAATCCAGTCACTGAAATGCTCGAGTTTCTTGAAAAAAACAGGAAGATTGATAATGTCCAGAAATAAAATAATAATTGTATTAATATACTGTTGCCACAAACTTTTAAACTAAGTATGTTTTCATATCTTGTCACAGAATGCAGAACAAAATTGTAATCTAAAGCTAACTAACTAAAAATGTTTGAAGTTAAAATATTTTTCAGGAATGATAAATCAGAATTTTATTCATGAAGAAATTAAAATCAGATTTCAGTTGGGGAATGCATGCTACCATTGAGTTCTGTACGTTTTGTCTTCCCATATGCTATCCAATAAACATGAAGATCAAAATACATGAACCTATTATAATTTTGAAGAAAGCAGTTTTCTGGGATTTGGCACCGTGTATATGTGGTGTTAACCGACGTTTCTGAGGAATGTATCGTCTCCATCTTCAGGGTAGAAGGAAAAATATAAGAAATCCGCAAGTGAAAAGACAGTGAGAAAGCAGACTGCTTTTACTGGTTCTCACAGTCTCTTCGCTTGCGGATTTCTTATATTTTTCCTTCTACCCTGAAGATGGAGACGATACATTCCTCAGAAACGTCGGTTAACACCACATATACACGGTGCCAAATCCCAGAAGACTGCTTTCTTCATAGTCACCGCTGTGAAAGCCTCAAATCTTACATATTATAATTTTGTCTGTTGCTCCATATGAATATGAAACTTCTCACATATTGAGGGAAGGGCATGGATGGAGGATGTTTTGGAACAAGATGGTGAGGAAAACATTTGGACCTAGGTGGGAAGAAGTTACAGGAGGTTGGAACAAAAAAAAGAGCATAACAAGGATCATCATAATCTGTGTTCCTCATCATTATTATTAGGATTAAGAATTCTGGGAGGGGAGGTAGTGAGATGGACAGTGATGTCATATGCATGGGGGAAGGAAAAATGCATACAAAGTTATGGACTTTTTTTTTACGTTACATTACATTACATTACATTACATTACATTACATTACCTTACCTTACCTTACCTTACATTACATTCCATAGATCCAAAGTTAGTCAAAATGACTGTAGGATATGGAACATGTCATATAAATAATACACAGTCCCAATGGAGTTCTCACACAAGAGAAAGCAAGAATACACAGTGACTACACACAAGGCTATTTAAAGATACATAAGTTATTTTCTAGACAATAGGTATTCATCAACAGAGTAGAATGAACGTGTATTTAAGTATCGTTTCAGTGCTATTTTAAATCATGCCTTTTCATTCATAAGACCTTTGAGATCAGATGGCAGGTTATTAAAAATGTTGCTCCCAGCATAACCTGAATCGAAGAACTCACTTGGAAGACATAGATAAGCAGAGATGTGAGGATAATATTAAAGTGGCTCTTAAAGTAATAGGGTGGGAGGGTGTGTCCTGAATTCATGTGTCCCTGGGTAGGAGCTGCTGGTAGATTCTTGTGAACATGGTAATAAACCTTTGGGTCCCATGAAATGTAGAGGCTTTCATAAGTATCTGAGCAACTGCTAAGGGTTTTAAAAGGACTCTGTTGCATGGAATGAATTAGTTATGAAGTTCTCAATGTTGCTTTTTCACTTTCAGTCTTATATGTTTGTACTGAAATTTAAATACTGACAGAAGTTGATTTTATGATACAGAGGATGTTATTGTTATACAGGGATTTTTGATCTGTTATACATATTACGGGTCCAGAAAATGAACATACATATATAAACACCAGCAGTTATGTTATCTTTCTATACCACACCCATTCTAGCTGTATATTGCATGGAGAAAGTGGTGAGTTTGGCAGCATTTCACCATCATTAATGTGTGGTAGTGAAATTCAAATCAGTTCATGATGTCAGTTATTGACTTCAAAGATTTTATGATTGTTACATAATAAGTTTTTTTAATATACAGCATATGCTGAAAGTTTCTATGGGCATTGTGACAGGTTCTTGAACTAAATGTTTCATTCTTCACCGTTGAAGCACTCACTGACTGATGTTATATTATGCCAGAATTTAGTATGGGAAACTTTTAGTCAGTTTTGGTGGGAAAACCAGAACAAAAGAGACCACTAGGAAGACTGTACGTAGATCACAGGATAATATTAAAGTCAGTGTTAAAGAAGTAGAATGAGAAAGCATGGGCTGGATTCATCTGGCTCAAGGTAAGGATCAGTGGTGGGCTCTTGGGAACATGGTACTGAAATGTGGGTAATTTGTTAAGTAGTTGAACAACTATTAGGATCTCATGAAGGACTCAGCTGTCTGTAATTAGGTTGAGAGTGTGTTCTTTTGTCTGTTAGTTAAATTTATTAGTTTCATGATATTTAAACTTTGTCCTTGTTAAATGTGCTTCATGGAAACTATTACTTGTAGTGAGCTGTTTTACTCTAAACACCCTCCCTGATTAAAATTCCCAATAAAATAAAATATTATAACTTTATGCACAAAACAAGCAAGAGGTGGGTCTTTCCTAAAACTGATGCTTTTATTTTGATGTTTGCTATATTAGCACTTAACTGTTATAAGTATCAGTTTAAAGCATAATAGACCACTGTAGGTCGCGGTGCAAGGGCCAAGAAGGCCCACCCCCTATACATTCATTCATTCGTTCATCTGTTTACTTCATTACTATGATACTGAGACACATTACACCTCCCATGGTAAAATGAAGCAAGTTCTTTATATGCATATCATCACATGTATAAAACACTTAAATCCACAATTTCCTGTAGGAGTTTTCTTTCGGTTGTGATGATTCTCATTAAAGCCCATATCAAATTTCTGACAGTTGGCTAATTATACAGAAGTTGGCTTGTATGCGTGTGTATATTAAATAACTGCTAGACAAATTTGATTTGGTTCATCGT